GATACAGGATCAAATTCTCAGATACTTTAATAACTTCTTGGACAGCAGACTTGTTCGTTCTCTTGTAAACCAGTGCCTCTGATTTGAAGTTACCTTAATTAGAATGAATAAACTGTATTGAAAACTATTGAGCCAATGTGTCATTTTGAAGAGCAAGGAAGAACTGTTGTTTAATACATTGGGAAAGGGTGTTCAAAGTAATAGGATAACTAAGAATACTGATTACTTCAAATTTTTAAAATGTACAGCATTAATACAATATTGTGCTTCTTAACTATTAACAATAGTCTTGATTATAAATAGCAACTGGTTAAAAATGCCTGAGAGATTTATACTATAGAATATAGAAATATTTGTACCATATGCTTTCTCTCTTTTAGTAAAGATAATGTATTTTGATAATATCTCAGAACAATTATGAATTAAAAGCAATGTTCAGGCAAAAAAGGTAGATTAGTAGTGTTAGAATTACAAGTGTTTGTACTTCATACTATGTTAAGATTTGATTTCTAAATGAATTAAAATAAAATACTGGCAACTCATGGCATGATTTAAGGCTTACAGAATGTTTTTGATGGGAGTGGGGAAATCAGTTGATTTGATATCATAGCTCTGAAGCCTATGAATAGTCTTTCAGTAAATCAGGTTCATCTAGTAAGTATACCATGAAGAAAAGTATATTTATGTATTTTGCTAATTCTTTTAATAGTGTCGGAGACTATACATGTAACTAAATTATTGTACATTTGTATGTATGCATCTGATGTATAAATTGAATTTCAAATTGAAAAAATCATTTGTTAAAAATAGGTTTAATTATTATTCTGAGTATAGAATTTGAAACTTTCTTGATCTGCTGAGCAGTTATAGCTGAAGCACAGCCCTGCTTCATCTTGCTGTTGTATGCTGTCAAGTCAATTCCAACTCACAGTGACCCGATAGGACAGAGTAGAACTGCCCCATGGGAATTCCTAGACGGTAATCTTTACAGAAGCAAATCACAAGGTTTTCTCTTCCACGGGGCGCCTGTTCGAGCCCCGACCTTCTGGTTAGCAGCCGAGCACTTACCATTGCATCACCAGGGCTCCTTTCCTTCGTTTTACTGATTGCTTAAATTATCTGCTAATAGAATTCTCGGATGTGTTTGTTAGGGAAGAATGTGTCTTGATATTGATATCCGCTGATCAGGCAATGGTCTGCTGGCTATTCTGTGGCCTCTTTGGCTCCATGTACTGAGGGCAGTGGTAGGATCTGACAGGACATAAAGGACAAAAGTTTGGTTGTATTTTTAAAAAATTCATATTGACCTAAAAGAGGGTCGAATTATACTTGATGATATATGATATGCATTTTCTCTAACAGTATCATTAATTTTTCAGTTATAAATATATTGACACCTTGTTTTGGAGAATACTTAATTTTTATGATCCTTTTTCTTCCAAAAGGATACGATTTATCATCTTAGTTACATGTCTGACCCAGTTGTAAAGGGGCAAGAAAATTCTTTGGCATATCTCTCTTAAATAAAATAGCATTTTGTTTGACTGTGGTATTGATTTTTAAAAACTTGAATCATTGTTGTTTTGATAAATAGCTTTGAAGCTCCTCTCTTTTGCTGAGGGTCAGAAAATCCCAAAGTCATCCCTGCTGCTGGTAATGCCAGTTCTGCAGATTTTATCGTCTACTGCCTTGGAAGACTGTATATCTGTGGATGAAGAAGGGCCCTCTAGGCAGCAGTTGGCTGTAAACCTTTTGGAAATGGTACAGCAGGAGTGCTACAGAGACGACAGCCAAAAGGTACTTAGTTCATCCTTGTTTCTCTTCAGTAAAGTGTTGATGTGGGATTTATGTCTCTGCGGCTAATCTCACCTCCTGATGAAGTGTCTGTTTGA